GGACGGACGTATCAGTCAGCAAACGGCCGGAGCTAATCCGCACGTGGTCGGCCTGCAGTACCGCGTGATGAGGCACTTTAAGCGAGCATGGACGCGTCGAGGATACCTCTAGGACCTAGGACGAGCAGGTGGAAACACGGTAGGGTCGTATGGGACATGGTATAGCGGTGGGCAAAGGCTGAGTAATTGTGTGGGTTGCGGAGCATATTTGTTATTTAACTCCGGACGGGCGCAAAGCCATTCCAATGGTATAAAAATGTATGGAGCGTAGTGGAAAATACAAGTTTTGTACTTCACCCTCTCAGCGTACCAGAATTATCGTCTCAGCGACCCTCGGAGTCCCTTCGCGTCGGACTTAGCGTCTACAATCAACCCTAGCTTTGCCAATAGGCCGGACTCGTCGAAACTAGATAACTCCGCCATCGCATATCGATCCAAGTAAGCTCCGGATTTAAAGTATAAAATTCACCAAGCGTCTGTAGGCACGAGACTATTGTTCGGGTTCAGTGGAACTCCCCACCCGGGTTACTGTCGAACTTCGGAGATAAATACTCCGGAGAATCGCTATACTGTTTGTTTCAGGCCTCAAGATTTTGTTTGTTTTAGGTTTTCCTACGGGCTACCCTACGGCGTCTAACTTCTCCCCCTCCCTTCGAACTTAAATATTACCCTTCAATCGCCTTAGACCGCCTACACCCATACCGCTGGGTGTTTTAGGTTTTATTTCTTTTGGTCTTTGGTGTTGTCGTGTGTTAGTGCCTATCACCGCGAACCACAGAGTCCGCCATAGCCGATCAGAAAGGTTACCAACCTCCCAATTAAGGAAGGCCACGGCCCGCACACCACACGAGCTTGTGTTCGGTTTTATCCGACCAGCCACGGTAGTCTCCGCAGCCACGTGGGGTGGACTCCCACGAGTCACGTGACCATTGCAACGAAACCAGGAAGGAGTTGCCAAGCTGCCCACATTGGAGCAGCCCTCGACTGGGACCCCACTTCCAGAAGAGTTACGGCTTTACCTAGTTAAGTCGCGCAAGTCACACGACACCGCGAGAGTGGATGACATATCGCACGGCGAATACCTACCCATATGGAACGGTCGCTGGGACGGCCTAGCGATGCTCGCGGGAATTACCAACGGCACCCTTAACTGACTATCTGGGGGTGGGCCTACGCGCACGCTGAGGCATACCTTGGCACGCGCCGACCCGCCATTCTCGCACCCCGGCCCCCCATGGGCAATTTTGTCCCGCTGGGCCTGGCAGGCAGAGATCGCGCATCGATGGGGTCCGAAACTCATGCGATCGGTCCGGGGGTTCTTGCTACCCCCTATTGCAGCACCCCCGATCCTGTTTCATTAGGCACCGAACCCCCCAAAGTCCACCATTCCCCCTCCACCGATCTCAGTCGGGTCGCAGCCTGGCTTGGTCAACCATCGATGGGGTCCGAAACTCATGCGATCGGTCCAGGGGTTCTTGCTACCCCCTATTCCAGCACCCCCGATCCTGTTTTGTTAGGCACCTAACCCCCCAATGTCCACCGTTCCCCCTCCACCAATCTCCATCAGGTCGCAGCCTGGCTTGGTCAACCATTGATGGAGTCCAAAATGCCTGCAATTGCACCAAGGTTTGTTGCTACCCCCTATTCCAGCACCCCCGATCCTGTTTCATTAAGCTCCAAACCCCCCAAAGTCCACCGTTCCCCCTCCACCGATCTCCGTCGGGTTGCAGCCTGGCTCGGTCAACCATTGATGGGGTCTGAAACTCATGCGATTGGTCTGGGAATTCTTGCTACCCACTATTTCAGCACCCCTGATCCTGTTTCATTAGGCACCGAAGGCCTCAACGTCCACCATTCACCCTGCACCAATATCCACTGTTTGGCTTACTTGTTTGGGTGGCAACTGGACTCAAAAACATGACAATTTGATCAGTGTTGGCTGTGCCCCCTCTTTCAATACCCACAGGTCTGTTTTGTTGAGCACTGAACATGCCCAAGTCCACCATTGAATTTTCACAGACTTGAACACAAGTTGAGTCGGTGGAAACAGCTAAAGGTACAGTTTCACTGGATTAATCAAAGTATTTATAGTCCTGGGCATAAGAAGTATATAGGTATAGCAAAATATCCTGTTGTGAGAGCCAGGCTCGATGAGCCCAGGTCAAGAGAAGAGCAGTCCGCACATGGGCTTATGTAAGCAATCTGAATGCGGTGGCGCGAGTGCAAAGTCGCTCGCGGTCGTCGACACACGCAACGTGGGCCTTCGGTAAGTGTCTCATTATACTCAGCGGGTATGAAAACCCCAGGGTACATGTTTTGTTGACTTTATTTTATGTTCTAGAGTCCGAGCGAGGCAGCGACAGAGACGCGCCGACGCGCGCGAGACGCGAAGTCCGCGACTTGCTCCCTACCGGCTCTCGACGTTCTCGACGCCGCCGCCGCCTCCTCCACAACTCCTCAATGGGTTAAGGGTTAGGGTTAGGGTTAGGGTTAGGGTTAGGGTTAGGGTTAGGGTTAGGGTTAGGGTTAGGGTTAGGGTTAGGGTTAGGGTTAGGGTTAGGGTTAGGGTTAGGGTTAGGGTTAGGGTTAGGGTTAGGGTTAGGGTTAGGGTTAGG